GCACATGACATCGCTTTTGCCAAAGAGAACCAGGAAGTAGAAAACAAGAAATTCTAAGTAAAATAAAAGTATGTTTGTTTAATGTAAGATGATTTCATATCCACATGCAGAGCTGTATGCTCTGATGTGATTTTTAGCCAAAGGGGGTAAAAATTCACTTTAAAGAATTGTATTGCTTACACTTCTGGGTATGTTGGATGCCTGCGTTCCATCCGCTGGCTGCTACATCACTAGATTTGCCTGACGGCATCATATTTTCCTGGCACTTCCCTCCGATTTTCAGCATCTTGCGTGTGCTAAGTGCACACTGCGCTGCGCATGCACCACAGACAGTTCTTAATTTTATAGAGAAAGTTGCCAACAGAAACATATAACAGAAGAGAAGATTCTGTCTAGCAGAAGAGATGTACAATGTATCCTCTGCTAGAAAAAAAACAAAAACCTTTAGAACTTTTTTTTGGCCTTTAGTCCTGCTTTAAGGCAAACACTCTATCCAATTATTAATCAAACCTTATTGATACTGATATACTAGAGTGATTGGTTTTGAAAGGGTTTTGCAAAAAGTCAGTTTGCCGAATCCACAGTGTAAAGGCAGCATTGTGACACTGCCTTTTGGCAGAGCTACAAAATGGGCTGAAGAAAACCTTTTAAAGGTCTCTCAATCTTTAGCAGAAAATCACAAGTAGGCAGAAAAAAGAGAGATCTTTAAAAAGTACTAACTGAGTCCTGACTTATGGTGACTGATGAGTCTCAAAGGAGGGTGCCTGGAGCCCAGTGACCCATGGTGCAGTCTGTGGGCCTCCTGCTGGCAGCTGTATGCATTCCCGTGTTCTGAGGCACCATAATGTAATCCCTGTGTGGATAAATGCTGATGGGTGCACTTGCTAGATAATCATTTTTGGAACAAGCAATTATAAACATCTGTACCAAGTGCTGCTGAAAAGAAATTAGACAAAGTATGCACAATGTACATAAAGGGAAAGAAAGATAGGAGCCGACTTGTTTTTAAAGGTGCAGCGTTTTCATGCTCAATCTGAATCCATTTTATAGAAGGTCATTGACCCAGGACAAGTATTCAGGACTTCTGACCTCACTACCTGTATGCATGTCCCAGGTCAGTGCCTTGGTAATAAATTAAGAATTGGACTAACAGCCCTGGAGACTGCACCCAGTTAGCAGTGGCAGCAGCAGTGTCCGAAAACAATGAAAATAGACAAACCTGTAGTGCAGGTGTTAAACAAAACTTTTTTTTAAGATAATAAAGAAAATGGTTTAAAAAATAAATGTCCTGGACATCGTTGTTGTCAAGCCAGAGGTCAGATGCCAATGTGGGTAGTAAGCTGTACCAGATCGGGGAACACGGAGAGCAGTATCAACAGAAACAATAGCCAGAGTCAGGAGGTCAGTCAACCAGACACAGGGTCATACGCGGAGAACAGGAACAGTAGAGCTGAATTAATGGTGCAAACTAAATGGACAAGCTAATGGTCAAATAGTGAACTGGTGTTACATCACTCTGGGGCAGGAAGTTGCCAGAGGTTTGCCAAAAGTTGCATAATGATGATGTTTCGGGTTTGGTCATAAGCGGGCACCAAAGAGGAATGAACAGTGTCTGACATACTGCAACAGAGGACATGCTGCACCTCAAGGAAGAGAAGAAACCCTGACAAGCAGCAGCTATATGTGTGTCGACATTTGGTTTACTTTAGAGGTATTGAAGGGGCTGTTTTAAAGAGACACTTCCAATTTCCCATTTGAAGGCAGTCACATTGCCAAAGCCCTTGCTAACAAGGCTAGGGTCTGTGCGGCCAGTCACGGCCATTCTCACTTTATTCCAGTTGCAATGTTCTTGGATAGAGTTAACACTTGCTGATTTGACTTTTTTGTGTGTTTTTCTAGGCATTTATTAACAAAGAAGTATTGGGAAAGTAAAATATATTCTTCCCTATACACTGCGACTGTCGCATGACTCCCTATACTGAGGGCTGAGAGATCGTGTATCTTCTGTTTGGTTAGCTCTTGGTCTTCTCCCTCCAGAGAGCAGTGACTGTCAGTCTCCGCTCCCTGCAGGGATTCTCCGCCTCCCTTTCTGTTCCTCCAGTGCTCATTGGAGGGACAGACAGGGTAGGGTGGCGGGCCCAGCTGGTTCTGGCTGTAGAGAGGCAGAGCCAGCTGTCAGTCAAAACATCCGGGTGGTTCCGGACAATATTGTTGGGATTCTTCCTGGCTGCAGTGTGGCTCTGCACAGTCAGTGTATAGCAGGCATGTTAGCCTGATTTTGTGCTGACTTTTTGGATCACAGAAGGACATTAGTAAATGTACTCTTGTGACACATAAAAGTAAAGCCAAACAAAAGGTTTGTCAAAGACATATTAGGACTGCCATTTCTGACCTGATTATGCTAATTACATTGAAATACTGACCTAGGAGACGCATACAGATCTGGAAAGTTGAAGAAAAGTCAGAAGTTCTGATCTGAATTTTTTTGTTAAGGGTTTGCAAGCAAGAGGGTGAGCATGAAATTGTAGAAATGAATATTTACAGGAGGGGTCGGTGATGGCAGCTTCCAGGTTTACTTTAAGGCAAAAAAGAAAAAGACAAATATATTTCAGGCTATGTGAGTCATTTTGTAATTAGAAATACTGCAGCTTTTTATTGCATTGGACAGCCAAACACATTTCTCCCCCCCTCGAAGATTTAAATGTAAGTTTCAAGAATTTGTCATTTCACTCTGACTGTGATTAGTACAAATGCTTTAAATTCTAGGGTAATCTCTTTGTATATGTTTAAAATGATCCATCGAGCTGTAATTTCCCAGAAAAGCGAAATAGACCCTCTCATTGACTAATCCCCCAAATCAGAAACACTCCCCTGTTGCTGGTTTTTAAACTACGTTTTTAATTCGTCTTTGTGTACGATGTTGTCTCATGCAAGGGGAATAGTATACTGTACGTTTTATTATGTTCGTTAAAGGCCGGGGGTTTGGCACCAGAGTGGCTCCTCTTCGGTTTTGTGCAAGTGCATGTTTTTGCAATTTACTAAACACGAAAAACAAGAGTTTGTTTAGCTCATATCCCTTTCTAGGTTGCTTTCCAGTTTTTAAAATTACTACAAATTTCAGACTTTTTTAGAGTTTTATTTGTGTTTTTTAAAAGTAACTGAAATTATAACTTGAATAGTTTAACCCAAAGGTGTTTTCCCCTCCGAATAAAATTTGTATGGGCTCATTCATGATGAAATGTGTGCTATATGGTGCTTTGCCGCAACATATGCTAATGCAAGGTAGATGTGAGTTGCTTTAGTATTCTACATACATTATGCATTGTGCGTTACATTGAGCTTTAAAAAATGGTGTAGGACATATCTTTCCGTGTGTTAAGATGGCTTGAAGACCATTTGAATGGGCTGCCAAACCAAACACTACTAAATGCACAAAAGCACATGCATTGCAGTGCACTGTGTTCTGGTGTGAGCAAGCTCTAAATTGCATTACAGACATCATAGGCCAATTCAGGGCTTGCCAACCTTTCTGCCTTGTGGTCCTCCCACAACCTATGTTCCAGCTACATAGTTGCATAGTATTTGAGGTTGAATAAGGACACGGGTCCAACGAATTCAACCTTTTGTAAGTGTGTGTGTGTAGTGCGTGCATGTGTGTATAAGAGTCCCTTGTGGTCTAAGGTTTTAAGAGTACCTGTACCCCTGTGTGTTACGGTCTCTGAGGAAGGTAATTGATTTTAGACTGATTCAATACTCTCTGCTGATACCACTGCTCGTGGCAGAGAGTTCCAAAATCTAACCACTCTGACTGATAAGAAGCCCCTATGCCCTTTGTGGTTAAATATTTTTTCCTCCAGTTTTAGGTGGTGGCCTCTAGTCCTGGTTAGGGAGTTTACGGTAAGTTTTTTTTTTTTTGTTTTGTTTTGCTGCTGTTGCCATCACCACTAAACATTTTTTACATTAAAATCCTGTCCCCTCTTAATCTCCTAACTTCCAGCGTGAACAAGTCTAAATCTAGCAACCTTGTCTCATAGCCCCTTCGCTTCCAGCATGAACAAGTCTAAAGATGCCCATATACCTGCCGATTATGGTACAATAATCGCGGGTGATCCCACAATCGTACCATAATCGGCAGGTGTATGGGCAGCGTGCGACCGCTTTTACTGTAAGGTCGCACGACTTTCGTCTTTCGAGCACACATGAAAACCTGCCGAAAATCGTACGATTTTCGGAGGGTTGGTGACGTGCTCGGAAGACGAATGCCGTGCGGGTGGGTGTGCGCAAGCGCACACTGCCCGCTCAGCACTGCAATCATCGGAAGCTCTCCCATCAGCAGGGAGGGCTTGTGATGATCGCAAGTACGATCTGCCTGTCTAAGATGGGCAGATTGTACAATGAAAGTCGTCCGATGGTTGTAAGGTGTATGGGCAGCTTTAATCTAGCAACCTTGTCTCATAGTTTTGGTCCTCCAGCCCCTGAATTCGTTAAGTTGCTCTTCTCTGGACTCTCTCTAGCTTCGGGACATCCTTTGTGTGGATAGGTGATGTGCATGTCCTTATTATTCAGGAGAACAAAGTAGATTTGATAGCTTCATAGATTTAAACCTTTGCAGAGCCCCATACCGCTTCCCTTTGCAACAGCAGCTTACAGAGACACTCCACCCATATCCTCCTCTCAGGAATGTCACCCCTTCCTTTGTGTCCACATGGCATGAAGAGGTGGACATGCGTACCCCTCCTCCTGAAAACACTGCTTCGGAACAAGTGCCCCTTCTGTCCTGCCTGTGGATCAAATCTGGTGAAATGCATTAACGGCCAAATGAACAGGTGTAGTTGGCTGATTAAAGAACATATTTTTCCCCACCAAAATTGCTTCTAATGCATTTGATTGACTTGGTGGTAATATTTAGGTTTAAAAATCTGAGGTATAAAACTGAAGTGACTTCAGTTCTCTGCTACCTTTTTATATTTATATGTGCACTGTATCTTTTCTAACTGTAGGTGATTCTGGTCAAGGACTCCGATCGTGGATACGGGAAATCTTGAAGAAAGATCTGGCCTTTAAGCACATCAAAGTCCTTTTTCCAACTGCTCTGGCCCGGTGAGTTATGAAATTAAAATTATTGTAGCTTTGGGAATGGGGAGGGACTTATAAAACTGCCTGGGAAAGGGCATATACAGTATGTAAGTGAAATGGTTCCTGATTATTGATTTTTAAGCATTTTCAACAATGCAGACTTCTGAAAAAAAAATCTCCAGAAAAAATGCAGTTGATGAATAATTTATTATCATAGCAGGACCCTTTTTTTCTATTTGGTGTGTTGCTGTTCAGTCTTGGATCACACTAATGTGATTCATGCAGTTACTTCCCATAAGTGAGGAAACACAACCCAGTCTACTGGTGTTTCCCCGACATGCTGGCTTTTCTAATATTAACAAGTGCAATACCCTTGCGTAATGACATTCACTTCTTATGTGTCCCAACGTCCAAGAGGTTCTAGAGCAGACCCAATCACTGGCTGGAACGCCAAATGGACTTCAGCCATGGGCTTCCCCCTTCTGTCTTTTATTACTGGTAAAAATTCAGAAGGCCATAAAAGTGTGCATTCAGAGCCAAAACCTGCCGGTAACTCACAAATATTTTCTATGCCAAATTCCTCCGTGTAGTTACCAGCAAGAGAGATATTAATCATTCGGTTTACTATAAAGGATGCAGTATATTGTCAATCACTCCAAGATCCCAAGTTCATGCAATTAAAAATAAAATGGAAACTTTAGGAGCTGGCATTGGTGTAGATAGTTATATGATCGAATATGGGACTTTTTAAACCTAGTCAAAGTCCAACCTAACAAATTCCAGCCCTTTTGGTCTCAAGAAAGGCAACACACACTCCCACTCCCATCGCACCCTCCATCCGGGTAACTGTTGCTGGTCTTGAAAATTAAAGGGGGGAGAAAATAAATATTTTCCATCTCCACAAAGGCTGTTGAACTAGTTCCCTGGAATTAAATATTACTGTATCATTTCTGACTATATGTAAATCCAATCACAAAAATCTAGTATGTGCTTAATAATATTAATATTAATGTAACTCCAAAAGTAATTATCAGTCTTTTTTTTTTTTTTTTTTTTATCTGCAGCTTTCATTAGAATAATGCATAGAGATCCTCCCATGAAGATCACCTTTTGTTATAAGGTTATAACGCATGTGCCAGTTTTGCTGCTGCATTGCCACTTTGTCACTCAGACTTCTAGTTCTAGCAGACATGACACAGGCATGGTCCACTATTGGCACCAACATCCCGCAACCTCCCCCCCCAGCTCTGATTAATGCCATGCAGTCATTGCTGAAGTTAATATAGACAGGAAGTGGTTGCAAGAGGCCAGCAATGCTGAGATGCAACCAAGGGTTTAAAAAAATATATAAAACCGGTATTTTATTTCAATTTAATTATTTGATACACAGAGCTTTAGCAAAATAAATGTCATTCGGCTATGGTTTACATCTACTTGGTAATAACGGTATATATAGTTAGCTAGACAATCAACCAGTCTTTTTTCAATATTTTATTTTGACATTAACTCTTTCTTACCTTTTTTCTTTCTTGCCATAAATAACCCTTTTATATATTATTTAAGGCGGTTGCACATGTGCTGTGGATAGAAACTAAAAGCAGTGGCATGTGTTGACATCATATAGTACCTTCTTTGATGTGCAATTGCCTAGCCAAAGATTTCATTTAAAGGAGACCTATGAGGTGAGTGAAAATCACTCATCCTCATAGTTCGAGCCGACATGTGACAAAGAAAATGTCACACGTCGGCTCAATAGATCGGGAAGTGAGCTATCTCACTTCTCGATCATCTCCCTGCAGAGAGCCTTTAGTCATAGAGAACCCCCATAGTTCTCTTAAGTGTCTCGGGAGGACATATACTAGCATGCTCCCGTGACCCAAAGCTCAGTATATAGCGAGCTACAGCTCGTAGCATACTGAGATCACCGCAGCCGGGACATTGCTGTAGAAATCCACCCAGCTGCGTGAGTGACAGCTGGCCCTGCCTATCTAGAACTTACCCCATAGTTCTCTTAAGGGCTCATTCACCACAGATGGATTGGGGCTACGCAGTAAATTTTCTTCGTCATGTATGGACATCATTCACACCACCATATTGCAGTGGGGACGTGGTGGTGTGTGCTGAAAACAAGCATGGCAAGCTTAGAGGACAAAGTATCCACACCAACGTGTTTCAGGGGCTTGTATAGTCCCCCTTCATCAGGGCTTGAGAGACTTGTGTTGAGAGGAAAAATAGTGGACTCCCAGGTGTTTGGGAAAGTAAAAATGCTCTTAAAAGAGTTGGCTTTCAACAGCTGGTTGTGAAAATAAATCCCCATAGTTTTTCTGATGGAATAAATTGCTTTTGGGCTGTAAGACCATTGGCATGGGGCTCTTGTGTCCTCCCAAAACTACCTGTTTTTTTCCACAATGTGCATTCCAAAGGCTCTTTTGTGTTCAAGGGCTGGTTAGTTATGGTTGCCATGCTCCACAGTATTAATCCCAATATGAATCCAGCCTCTCCCATTTACACTTTTTTTAAATCCGTACTTAAGGAGTCACAAATCCAGAACATGAACATAAGAAGCTCTTAACTTCACTTCGTTTTTCTTGCAACCCCTAGCTAGAGTGGAAATACTGCTAGGCCAACAATGTTTTTTGTTCTGGCACTTGTCATTACAAAAAGTGGGCACCAATGTTGTCAAATGCATGGATAGCTGCCCTCATTACCAATCACAAGCCAAGTTGCCCTCAGTCTGTACACTTGACTTGAAGGTCTTGCCTACACCTGTTGCCATGAATGTAGGTAAGACCTTCATTACAGCTCTTTTTATGTGGAACCCTGATCCTTTTTTTGCTTTGTAAAATTGGTCTTTCGGTTTTATCTGTTCTGTACTGATACTCAACATGTTCCTCATTGAATGCTTTTAATGGGGAAATACATTTTCAAAATGCCATTGATAATCTGTCCGTCCTCGCTCCAAGTCTGCTGAAGGTAAACATCACAGGTTGAGATGTGGAAAATGTTATTGCAATGGGCAACTTCTCTACCTGCAAGTGTTGAGGGTGATCTCTTATGCCCCCAC